TCCTTCCCTGACATTCCAGCTCTGTGCTGTCAGTGGATCTACCATTGTATCAGCGTGGCTTGTTCTAGGCACTTTCTTCCCGTTTCTTCATGTCGTCCGTGTGTCTTCCTGTCTCTCAGTGTGGATTCGAGGTATTACACTTTCTACCGTATAATCTTGTAGTGTCCCTGCAGGTCACCGATACCTTGCCTGCAGGCACCTGGAAGATGGTCTTGTAGGTCCTGGCTGTAGTCACTCGATGGAAGGTGGTGGGGAAAGCCACCCCACGGGTTGGTAGATGGGGCCGCAGCACGGTAGCTCTCCTACCGTGCGTGATCACTGTGATCACTCTCTACCATGCGTGGTGGGTGGGCCTGGGGTCACTGTCGTCTGCCCACCTTTTTTTTACTTCAGCATTTCCTTAATTTCTGCATCATGGTGTATCTCCCCTGCTCTGGCCCAGAATCAGCTGAAGGACGTTTCGCTTACACTCTGTTTGCCCATGGCTGGTCCAGTTGGGTTAGCAAACACCTGTAGTGTGTAGCAGGAACAGAGCTGGGTGCTCAGCCATCTGCTGGTAAAGGTGTAACCCACAGCTCTCTGAAAAGTGAGGTGTCGTGAAGAGCAAAGGTCTGCTGCTCCGTGGGGACCGTGAGTCAGCACAGCCACCACGGACACAAGTGTGGAGGTTCCTCAGAGGCTGGCCAGGGGCCACACGCCACCCAGCCACACGGCTCCTCGGTGTTTATCCACAGGAACCGAAGCCACGTAGCACAGTGATCCCTGCAGCCCACGTTCACAGCAGCCAAACCATGAGCCAGCCCCGGTCTCCATCAGCGGACAAATGGGCCAAGAACGTGGTACATCCTCGCTCAGGTCCCGCATGGGCAATGGAGTCTGGGGTTCCTGTGCGTGGAGTGGGCTGGCTGTGACGTTGAGCTAAGAAAAAAGGCGGCAAGAAAACCACACGACACAGAAAGTAATTTTGAAAAGCGAGGGCGGGACGGCCTCCGCGCTGGAAGGAGGGGAGCCAGAGCCTCGCTTGGCTGGTCTCCACACGGGGACTTCAGGGGCTTTCCATGGATGTTCTTTACCAGATAAGGCAGGGGTTGGGCTAACAGTCCCAGCGGGTCACACCCAACTCTGGAGCCGGGAGAGCTGTCCAGTGGGTAGAGTGGGCAGAGACCCCACGCCTTGGGCAGTCTACACACGGGAATGCCGGGATCGTCCCCAAGGGGAGAACTGAGTCCCCCACACCCCCCTGGCTCAGTTCCAGGCCACTCAAGCAGCATCCCAGTGGCGCACCGTACCCTCCGTGGAGCTGTGTCATCCATAAAGAAAATGAAATCATGCATTTCTAAGTGGAGCTCAGCAGGGCAAGGGTCATGTTTCCCTGCCTATGCGGAAGCTAGAGAGGAAAAGGAAGGTGGGGTGGGTCGTGAAAATCAAGGGGGACCAGCAGAGGAGTGCCACCAAGGGGTGGGCGGGAGGGCTGGGGTGATGTTGGCCGACTGTCTGTTCTATAGTATGGATACGCCACAACAGATCCCTCGACACGCATAACCATAAAAAAGGTGGAAAATATAGAATTTCTGATAAAAGTTCGCTGCTGTAGATGCCGCACAGCGCGCTCTTTACAGTCCTACCTCACGCCACTCCCTGGGGACTCCACGCAGCTGGCGGTTCTCGCAGGACGTTTCTCTTGGTCTTTGCTGAACCATTGCCCGCGCAGGGTGACCACCGAAAGCCTTAGTGGTGGGGGTAGGTTTGCTCACGCTTATGAGGGAGACAAAAGGGAATCGAGAAGGGGCGGGTTGGGGCCTCATGTGTCCCTTGGGGACAGGAGAGACTCTGCTGCGTCAGATGAGGAGTTTCGGTGTCGGCCTTGGTGTTGGTGCTGCTCCTCACTGTCTTCCCCACCCCCCTCTTTGGTGCAAGTGATCAAGCCCCAATTTGTGACTCTGCCCGGCTCTTAAGGTGTGAGCGTCCCGCCGTGGCCAGTCACCCGCGGGGCTGGAAGGAGCCTGGCTATGTCATGTTTTCAACGTTGAAGGCAAAGTTCTCAACGTTGAAGGCAAAGTCGAGGCCGTGGGTGATCAGGAGCGTGGCAGAATGATGAGGAAGGCCGGGTGCCACCTGTTTGTCACTGTCCTGTAATTGCAACATACATGACTTTTCATTCGCGGCCGAGTTTGTCAACCAGCCCCGACGTTCTGAACGCCGCACGGTGGCTCTGGTGAGGCAGGGCGGGCTGGGCCCAGCCGTGACACTGTCACGGGCTGGGCGGAGGCCTCCGTCCTCACAGCAGTTTACAGAAGGCTGCCTGGACCTGGAGGAGCACCTGAGGGAGCCGCCCGCCTCCTGGGAACCTGTCAGGCACTGGCTGCGGGTTTTCCCTCCGTCACTGGACACTTTCATTGTTTTTTAACCTGGAACGTCGGCTGTCCGCTACCAGCCACCCAAGAGCCTTCTGCAGTGTGGCCGCAGGTGCCCACCGTGACCCCAGATAACCCGGATGCTCTTAGAGCAGGGCTGGGGGCAAGCAGACCCTGCCTCCTGGCTGCGGCAGTGCCTCAGGGAGTCACCAACCCGCAGAGCTTCTATCCCCGGCCCCGGGTGGGGTGCAAAGCCTCCGGCACCCCAGGGTCACTCTGACGAGACCACGCGTGTTAGGGCGCCACCGTCCCCGCACACAGGTGCCCCTCTGTGGGGCCATCTCCTGGCGGAAGCCTGAGTCCTGCATAGTGACATGGAGAAGGGTACACAGTGGGGGAAATGGGTGCGGCTTCTTGAGCATCTCGGGGTGGGCGCAGCCCTGGTGCCTCTAGCGGCCCTCTGGGGCAGACATGGAAGAGCTCAGGACCACTCTGAGCTGCCTCAGACCCAGAACTAATCCAGACTGGGAGGAAGGGGCGGGGAGGGATGCATGAACACGTATTTTTAATGTAAAGTTTCTAAATCCAGCCTTGTTGGCAACTGACCTTGACCGCAGGCTCTATGACCTTGACCCCAGGCTCCATGACTTTGGCCCAGGGTCCCTGCAAACTCTGTGTGAGCATGGCCGGGAGCTTCCTCTTCATGTGGTCTTTCCTTGGGTTTTTTCTGCTGCTAGTCTCCTTGTAGTTCCCAGCAGCTAAAACCTTGACCTTGCCTGATGTATCTGAGCTGCTCAGCAGAGACCATCCTCTGCCCTCCAGCCGAGGCCACCCTAAATCAATGAACTTCAGGGGAAAAAACACTATTTTTTAATTTTACACCTAAAGAGTCTGTTGCAGTCATTACTGCACTTATATACCTGCATCTCCCTCTAAAGCAAGACCCACTCCAACCAGCCTCTCATACTGAGCAGCTCAGGGTCAGACCCCAGAGAGGGCTCACAACCAGTTTCTGCATCTGCTCAGCCCTGTTCACAGCAGCCAAAATTACAAGCAGCTCAAGTGACCATCAGTTGAACATGAATAGGCAAAATGTAGTCTGGCCGTTCACTGGAATAGCATTCAGCCTGGAAAAGGAAAGAGATCCCACATCTGCTACAGCAGGGATAACCGTTGAGGATGTGATGCTAAGAGAATAAGCCAGTCACAAGGAGATAACTACTGTCTGAGCCCAGTTCTGTGAGGTACCAAGAGTAGTCAGGTGCCTATTGATGGGACTGAAGAGAGAAAGGCAGTTGCGGGGGCTGGGGAGGGGTTGGAGGTATGGATGGGAAGAGTTTCACTTTGGTAAGAGGGAAGAATTCTGGAGACGCTGCTCACAACAGTTTGAATACACTTACCACTACTCAGCTCTACAGCTAACTGTTCAAAATGGTAAGAATCATGCTATGTGGTTCTCACAATTAAAAACCTGGGGTCCAGCCTGGGTCCCCTGGGGGTCCTGGGTTCTAATTGGATCACATGCCCCACCCCCGAACCAATCCCTCTGGCCAGGAAATGTCTCAACCATGGCTGGGAAGAAAGGAGGTGGCCCAGAACCTCCCCGGGAGGCTGAGTGGCCTCTGCCTGTCCAGGAGGGCAGAGGGACCTGTGGCCACTTGGAGTCAGCTGGCCTTTGAGGCCCCCGCCCCCCCCAAGACCCCAGCCCAGAAGCAGAGTCCTCCTCCTGAACCAGCAATCTCTAGACTAGACAGGGAGGAGGGGGCAGCTGGAGACAGTGGGAGAGGGACAGGCCTCCGGCTCGCGCCCGGGGCCCTCCACCCCTGCCTGGGCCTGGTGAAGCCTTGGCCTCTCCAGCCTCATTTACGACTCAGGAAGGAACAGGGGGCCCCTGCAGTGAGGGACCACGCTCCCCCGTGTCCCTGTTTCACCACGAGGCCCAGGAGAGAATCCTCGCGCAGCTGAAGCCAGGGCAGAGCCGCGTCAGAGCCTCTCCATTCCTCTCCTGGGTGACGGGTTCTGACGCGCCCCCCCCATCCGCGCCCCGACGGCCTCCCCCAGGCCCACCAACCGGAGGCTCCCGGGATAGACACGTTGGAGCCTCTGGCAGAGTTGGGTATGTTGGATGTCAGGGACGGAGGCTAACGGCCAGCCGGGGTCTCCGCCATCCTGGGCTCTTGGCTTCGGGGGACAGACGGGACCCCAGCACAGGTGGACAGAAAACAGAGGTGGAGGCCAGGAGCTGGGCCTGGGTCTCGGCGGCCTGGTCACCTCGGTGGCTGGTGTCCATTCTAGGTGCTGGGAATACCGTGGTGAGCCAGCTAGACAGAAGGCCCCTGCCCTGCAGAGGGGACAGGCCACCAGCTCAGCAGCTCAGTCCCACAGTGACCCACCTGGCCCTGCCCCACCTCGGGGCCATCCTGCAGGTGCCCTCTCGGCAGGGTCCTGACATAATGAGCGCCCCCGTGGGGTGGGGCGTGCCCTGTGGCCCACCGTGCGGCCATCACCCCGAGGAGGGTCCAGGAGGCTTCCCGAGGGACGTGACTCTCCAGCCCAGGCCCGGGGCAGCGATGATGTGGCTGGGACGGAGGGGCGCAGGCCACGGCAGCGGATCACAAGTGCCCTGACGCCCCTGTCTGCCCACAGGTCTCTTTCCCCTGGGTGAGGGGCCCAGCAGCCTGGCCGAGGCCACAGCCGTCCCGGATCTCCCAGCAGCCGATCCCGTCGCCTTCGCCACCGCTCAACGTTTTCTACCAGGGCATCCGGCCAGTGCCCCTGCAGAGGAGCTGGTCCCAGGGCTTCCCCAGGCCCTCCGTAGTCCCCCCCGCCCACCAACGGCCCGTGAGCGCCAGCGGAAAGATGTTCTCCTTCGTGGTGGACAGCAGCCACAAGTCCCCCCTCCTCAAGCAAGGTAGGCAGCGGGCCTCCGGGAGGACCCGGGGCGGAGGTGTGGCCGTGAGGATGTGTCTTGTGTCTTTGGCTAAAAATAGAGCGTGTCATTATTTTTTTTTAAATCAAGATAAACAAAGTAAGGGGACAGATAAAGGGACGTCTCTGCTGATGTGCTGCCAGGTGTCCCTGGACTGTGCACAAGCCCCGGTCCACACGGCAGGCCCCGTGCTGCGTGTGCGTCTGTGTGTGTGTCACAGAATCTGAAATGACACCCTTTAATGCAGATGAGCAGAAACACTGGCCTGAGGTCCCCCTGCCCACAGCAGCCCCCGGAGCTGGCAGAAATCCACCATTTATCAGAGAAGAGGCTGAGTTTACTGAGGGAAAATGAGTCCAGTGAGCTCGATGCTTTTCATGACATTGAAGGCCTCCCAGGGCCTGGGGACTTGGGACACGCGCAGCCTCAGGGCTTCCTCCCCTCACCCAGCCCCTGAGGCTGGGGCATCTGGGGAGGAGACTGCTGTCTGTCACTGTCCACTGAACAGCCCCTGGAGTCCAGGTCCCCTCTCTGTCCCCTCTGGCCCAGCCACAGACCCCCTCCAGGAGGCTCCATCTCCTCCCTAGTCTTGCTTAGGACCCTCCGGGTCTCCTTCCTCCACCATGGATGGAGCCATTATCCTTGTGGAATGTTCCAGAGGAGGTGAAACGGTTTCTGCGGGTTCCTGCCCCCCTGGCTAAGAACTAGCAGCCATTCCCCCCACACTGTGAGAAGGAAATGTCCAAACAACAACAAAGTAAAAAGAGGTTTACAGAGGCCCTCCCCCGCCGCCCTTGCCTCTGGCCACCCCGTGTGTTTCGTGTGTGTCCACCCTTCAGTTCATTCACTGACCCGACTTATTACACTTTAAAACAAATTGCGCACCTCTGGCCTCCCCCGGCATCCTGGCGAGCCTTCTGTCAGCTTTGTCTTTCGATGTGAAGTTAGTGTAGTGTCCATTACTTACCGACGGTTGTCTAACAAATCCTCCTGACACTCGGCAGCCTAAAGCAGACAAATAAAACCCCGTGTACTGTTCAGTTTCGGAGGGTCCGGAATTTGGGGGTCATTTAGCCAGGGAGCTGTGCCCCTCACGCGGCTTTTGGCAGGAGGCCCCAGTTCTCCGCGGGGACCTTCCTCGGGGACCTCCCTCAGGGACCTCCCACGGGCTGCTGGAGTCTCTTCACAAATGGTGGCCGGCTTCCCCCAGGGCACGGTCCAGCAGCAGAGCCTCTTCCGAGGCAGCCTCAGGAGCACCTCAGGTGACAGAGACGCTCCTCACACTCCACACGTTGAGCGCTGGCCCGGGACCACAGGACGCGCTCACACGTGCAGGTGGTGACTTTCCGCTAAAATGGGCTGTCAGGGTGAGCTCCTGAGAGAGACACGGGGGACGTCCTGCACAGAAGGACGTGTCGGGACACAGTGAGGAGGCCGCCAGCCGCCGGCCGCCAGCCAGGAGAGAGGCCTCGGGAGGAGCCGCCCGCCCGGCCCTGGGCCTGCAGACTGAGGACCGTGGGAAAGCAGCTTCCTGCCGTCCAGGCCCCGGGCGCTGCTCCGTCCACCTGTGGACCGAGGTGGCTCCAGCAGCTTCTGTGAGGATCACACCAGGGCGCTGTTTTCGCTGACTTTGCATCGCTGTGACCAAAGCCCCTGACAGAAGTGACACAGAGGAGGAAGAGCGTCCTTGGGGCTAAGGGTTTCGGAGGTCTCAGCGCAGAGATGGCCGAGTCCATGGCTCTGGGCCCAAGTGAAGCCGCACAGCATGGGGGGCCAGCAGAGGGGAGATGCTCAGCTCCTGGTCCAGGGCCAGGGTGGGCGCTGCAGGAAGGACAAGCCTCCCAGGACACACCCCAGTGACTACCTCCTCTGGCCACGCCCCCACCTGCCTACGGACCCCACCGCTCAGTCCATGCCGACTAGGATGGACGGCCGAGGTACGGCTCTCAGACCCAGCCTCTGCACCTGGACCTTCCTGATGAACAGGAGCTTCGGGAGACACCTCACACCCAAACCCAGAACAGGTCCCTGGGGGACAGCAGGGACAAGAACGGAGGGGGCTGCCTTGAGAGTGGCCACCAAGCAAGGAAATGCGGACCGCGAGTGACCACAACTGACCGTCGTTCACACCTATGTAGCTCAAACCGCCATCAAGACGCAGGACATGACCTCGCCCCGGGAAGTCCCCTCGGTCCCTCCCCAGCCCCACCCTGGAGATAGCCGCTCCCCTGTCCCCTCTACCAGGGACAGAGCCCTAATCTGGGGCCTCAGATCCTCGGAGCGTGGGGTCGGGGTTCTTCTGTGGAAGGCGTCTCTGGTTCACCCAGTGTCTCTGAGATTCGCCCATCTCGGGTCACGAGCAGCACCATCCCGTGGTTCAGTGACGTTGAACTTGGCCTTCTCCAGGGGCCTTCCACCACCTGGGGAGGGAGAGCAGTCGGGGCTTCCGGGACCCCAGGCCCATCGGGCTTCACCACACAGCTCCCCAGGGGGTCACTGGGTGGGGGCAGGCACACCACGGTGTCTGTTCCCAACTGCCACCTCATTTCCCTGATGCAGAGAAGGGCTGTCACCTTCCTGTGGGCTGGGGAGCCACCTGCTTCAGATTGGCCTCTCTGCTCCAAGCTTCCGGGCCAACTCCATGCTCCAGTCCTCCGGCTGGCTCTGGGTGGACAGCACCCACCTCGGCCCGGCTGGGTTCTTTCTGATGCCCAACAGTGGCCAATGAAGAGTGGGGTTCGGGGGAGGTAGCCCGTCTGGCGCCCCCTCCTGGAGGAAAAGAAACTGAGCCTCGGGTCCAGCTGCCCCGTGGACGTTCCGGATACACCTGCAGAGACCCACATGGTCACGCGGCCTGGAGGGTTGATGAGGTCCAGCTTCTGGGTCTCCAGGGGCTCACCACCACCCTGCAATCAGGGGTGACTCGCGGTAGCCCCAACAGGGCTGCAGAAGCATCTGGAGTCTCCCCTGGAGACTCGAACTGGGACTGGACTCAGAGCCCGTGAGGACCAGCCCTGGGGCTCCTGGCCTGGCCATTCACCTGGGGGCCCCTGACTCCAGAGGTCCCCGGACAGCTCCTGCCTCCATCCGGCCGGGGGCACCCCTTCTCACAGTCGTCCCGGCCGCTCGCGGGCCACTCTTCCCACAGAAGCCCATTTCTCCTCGTCGGGCACCAATTGGAAAGGCCCTGGGCGGTGGGTGCCTTTCAGATGAGACACAGCCGACCACCCCCCAGTGGGGACGCCTGCCAGAGGCAATGGCTGCCCCAGGTGGAAGACAAGCAGACTTCACACAGCAGTGTCCAGGCCCACCTGCGGGGTGTCAGGGTCAAGGTCGGGCCTCGAGGCTTGTTCTTAGTCTTGCTTCTCCCTGATGCCCTGGGTGGGCTCTGGCTGCAGACTTTGCCGGGAAGGAAACGTCAGGTGGAGACAGAGGGAGCAGCAGGGTGTCACCCCGTGCCCTCTCCTTCCACGCCACGGGCGGCTTGTGAGCATCTGAGATGTGTGAGTAAGTGACTGACCAAAGGACGTCTGATTTTAATAAATTTAAAACCCGCTGCTCCATTTCAGCCTGGGACCGTCTCCTGTGTTTGGAACAACTTGTGTGTGTGGATCTCCTTTATTCAAGCGGACATGTTTGTGAAATCTAGATATAGATTAGGTCTTTCTGATGAAAACTTATCTTCCAAATTGGGATGTACTGGACGGGCAAAGCAACCCTGGACACCAAAGGCTTCATACCATTAAAAAAAAAAAAAAAAGAATGTGGAATCTCTCAATATTTTTGGTGCAGATAAACACACATGTTGCAACGGTGTTTTTGATATATTGGGTTACATAAAATGTATTATTAAAACTGACTTCACCTTTTCGCTTTACCTTTTGAACGTGACTACTGCGAGTAAGTGACTGTTTCCTGACACCTGGCTTCCAGACACGGGAGGAAGAGGGTCAGGGAAGAGCGGAAGGATAGAAAGAGGGCCCACCACCTTGGTTCCTCGTGCCCGGGCCCGAGGCCTGCTCCCCTCGGTGCACGATGCTGGAGAAATGCGGCATTTGTGCTCTCCTGACCTCTGAGTTGTGAGACAGGTCATCTGGTGCCCCAGGGGTGCGTCAGAGGACCTTCCTGGGTCCCGCCTCCCCGTGGTGGCAGGAAATCCAGCGGGAGGGGTGCGTGGGTGGGGGCGCTTCCTCTTCCCTTTTTCTGAATTGCCCAACTTGCCCCAGTTTTCCCTGGACTTTCCAGGCCTGAGCACTGAAATCTCATGTCACAGAGACCCCCGTCCAGGCAGAGCCAGTCTGCTATCTTAACTGGTCCGTCCAGGAGATCTTACAGTTCCACTAGACTCCGTGCATCCAACCCTCAGCTTTCAGCAGGACAGCGGAACTGTCCCCAGCCAGGCACCCGTCAGCATTCTCTTGGGACAGGTCTGGGAGGGTGAACTGGGTCCTAGTTCACTCACCTGCTCGCTCCTTCGTGCATTCCGCACCCTGGAGGGGACATACTTCTGTATTGGTGTGTGCCCACCTGGCTTCAGATCCTGACATTCCCCTCCTGGATTGTGACATCACAGGCTGTGTGCACCCTGGTTTCTCATTTCTGAAATGCAGCCAATGGCAGTAAGTGCCAGAGTTGACCTATGGAAAGTTCTTGGAAGAGCAACAGCTCCCCGCTACCCTTGCCCCAGGGGATTTGGCTCCAGGACCCTCCCAAAACCATGGGTTGGACTGAACCCATGAACACTCCTGCACCCAGCAGCGGCTGTCACATGGTGTCAGAGTTCATCTGTCCTTCCATGTTTAATGCCTGGAGCCCGCTTTGCATTATCTTGAGCTTTGGGGCCACTAAAATCTACATTGAGGGTGTCTTGAACACGAGCATTGCAATTCTGTGACAGTTGATCTGTTAACCAAGCCAGCTACTAAGTGACTAATGGGGGGGTAGCATATAATGCACGGATGTGCTGGACCAGGGGATGGTTCATGTCCTGGGCAGGATGGAGCCGGACAGTGCAAGACATGCTACTCAGAATGGTGCTCAATTTAAAACTTGTGAATTGTGTATTTCTGGAATTTTCCATTTAATATTTTCTAACTAAAACCTTGAAGAGAAAGACCACAAGGAATGGGGAGACCCCGTAGGCATCGAGCACTGTGCTTTGGCTCACGGACAGTACTCCTGAGCACCTTTCCCCTCAGGCCCTGGGGCTTGACCCCTGTGGCGCTCGCCTTGCACATGTGGGGCACCGGGTTCGATCCTCAGCACCACATAAAAATAAAATAAAGGTTCGTGTCCATCTCGGTTCACAAAGATCTAGGGGGGAACCACCGGCTATAAGGGACTTTAAAAATGCAGAACCAGAATGAATGAACAGCCCCGAGGTGACCCTGCAGATGTCACCAATCGCGGCTGTGCCCCCTTCTGACGAGTCTCCCGCCTTTTGAAAACAGTTAGTTCCCTTCCTCCCTTTCAACAAGAGAAGGTGTGAGGGACGATGGCCCGGGACTCAGAGTCCGTGGGAAATCCAGAGCCCCGCTGGGAGCCCAGTCACCTCAAAAGCAGAATTGTGGAAATCCTCTCAAAAATTCCCACCCACCCCCAAGTCTGTATTCCCTGTTGGTGGGGCTGGATCTGGAAAGTCCCCAGGTCCGAGTGTTGAAGGCCTGGTCCCCAGAGCAGTGGTGATCACAGGCAGGACTCGGGAAGTGCCTGGGTCGGGGCGCTGACTTCACTGACGGATCAACCTCCGGAGGGGATCACAGCCTGGTGCATACCGCGGAGGGGCAGCTTCAGGAGGCGGGGCCTAGTCGAAGGACGCAGGTCACTCGGGGTGGCCCTGAGGGTATTTTTGACCCCTGCCCCTTCTGCCCTCTCTCTAATTCCCTGACTGTGGTGAGGGGGGCCCCCTCACCACAGACCCTGAGGAATGGCGTCCACCTACCATAGACGGAAACCTCTGAAACTATGAGCCAGGATGAATTTTTCCTTCTTCAAGTTGTTTTTCTCAGGTCTTTTGTCACAAAAATCTAACACTGTTCGTGTCAATGAATTAGAATATATTTGACATAATATATACACCATGAAGATTCCAAATGTAACTGTCGGAACCCCTGAAAGTCAGATAAACAGCTCGTAGGGTTAAATAAGAAAAATCAGGGTTAAACTTTAAAATTTAGGGTTAAATAAGAAAAAAGTCAGGAATACCTAAAAGTCTAGCAAGTGGGTCCTAGTTAAATATGTTTTGATACATTTGTGCCATGGACACTGTTACCAAGGAAAAGAATATGGTGCTACTACAAATACATTGGAGAAGAGGTCTTTCTCCTCTCCTGTGCAAAAGCATGCTGGAGAAGAACCTCTACATGAAAATCTAATTATGCTTTTTAAAATATGAAATTATAAAAATAACATTTACTGCTAAATGCTTCACGTAGGGGTAGGCAAACTTTCTTTAAAGAGCCTGTAGAGAGGAAAAAATAAAAAACTCAAATGTTTTCTACTCCTCTTTAGTCTCATAACACTTCTGGTCACCAAAATATGGGAAGTATACCCACCATGTTCGTCAGCTTTCCATGACTGGGACAAAATACCTGAGATCATCAACTTAAAAAGAAGAAAGGTTTACTTTGGTTCACCATCAGAGGTTTCAGTCCATGGTTGCCTGGCACAGTTACCTTTGGTCTGTGGCCACACAGGACATCATGGCAGGAGCATGCGGTGAGGCAAACTGTCAACCTCGTGCCTGCCAGGAAGTAAAGGAGAGGGAGGGGCTGGGGTCCAGTATCCCCAGGGACAGGCCTCCAATAACCCAGCTTCCTCCCCCTAGGCCCCACCTGCCAAAGGTCCCACCCCCTCTCTGGCACCACGGGCTGGGACCAAGGCTATAGCCCCTGGGCCTCTGGTGACAGGCGCCGACCAAGCACCCCTCCAGCACCAGCCCATGTCCTAGACGTGAGTCTGTTCCTGCAGGGCTCAGCCCCACGGACCCCCACCACAGGTGCGGTTCCCGCCACCCCTTCTCAGGTTGGGTCCCTTGACAGAGGATGGCTCCCAGGACTCAGGGAAGACTCTTGCTCGCTTTTGCCAATGTGTGACGAGAAGAAGACTTTTAAGGGTACAAATGAACAGGCAGATGAAGAGGTACACAGGACAAGGGACGTGGGGACCCTGGGGGCACAGAGCCGCCACGCCCTCTCTGGCCACCCCACCCTGCAGGCACCTGCCTGTGCGCAACAGCCGGGGAGCTCCCCAAACCCCTGCTTTGAGGGTCCCCGGGAGGCTGCGGCATGAGCGTGATTGACGGATCAGTGGCCAATCAGTGAGCAAGACCTCCAGCCCTCCCCTCCCCAGGGGCTGGGGGCCAGGGCCGAGAGTTGGGACCCTCGAGTCCCACGGCTGTTTCCCCTGGCAACCTGCTTCCCACTTTGGGAGTCCAAGAGATTTAGGAGCCCTGTGCCAGGGAACAGGATGAAGGCCAGAAAACAGAGAGAGCCGGCAGTAACTGTCCCAGGCTCCAAGGGTCCTGTAGGTCGGGTTGCAACTCAGTTCTCCCCCATGGCAAGGACAGCAGCTGTAGGTGACAATGAAGGACTGACTGTGGCCGTGTTCCTTTATTCTCAAAAACAAGCATTGGGCCTCCTTTGGCCCCAGAGCTGTAACGTGCTGACCCCCGTTCTGTGTCACATGTCACTTAATCCTCACAATGACTAAGGGGAGGGGGTTCATATGATCGAACCCAGGGGCACTTAACTGCTGGGCCACACCCACAGCCCTTCTTACATTTCATTTTGAGACAGGGTCTTGCTAGGTCTTCCTATGTACCTCTTCATCTGGCCAAGGACCAAACTTGTGATCCTCCTGCCTCAGCCTCCTGAGCCGCTGGATCACAGATGTGTGCCAACAGCTCTCTGTACTAGAGACGTTGGTGGCCCTAAGTTAGATACGTGGAAACTCAAGCAGAGAGAGATCAAGTGACCTGCCCTAGGCCACCAGATCTTTATGCAGCATAGAAAAAAAAAAAAAAAAGCCTGGACAAGGACAAATCAAGGTGACGGAGCCCCGGGAGAGGGAAGTGGTGGGTCCTCTACTTCCCGAATCCTGCAGGGATCCCATTGCTCCTCAGGTGCACACACCCTGCTTTGTCACTTTAAAGTCACAGGGACCTAAGTCCCGGGACACCACGGGAAGCTGGCCGAAAGCTTCCCCGGTGCTCGGGAAACTCACCAGGTCTCCTGTGCTCTCTGTCCACCTCTGCCTCAGTGTGGACGGGCCCCGTGGAGATGCCGGAGCACGCCATGCCGGAGGGTATTCCTGGAGCCGTGCCTCCCCCGGAGATCTTCATGGATCCGGACATGGTCCAGCAGGACAAGGTGAGGGTCCTGGGAAGGGCGGGGCTACAGCAGCCAGTGGACCGTAGGGGGACTTGCTGCCACCTCGTAGTCCTCTGTGGTCTAGAAGTGCCCTTTCCTCCCGTGTCACAAAACCGCCTCTTATTTAACCAAAAGTTATATCCCCCCAAAAATAACCACCACAACCACTGCTTGTTGAGCACCTACTATGTGCCAGATTGTGTCCTGTGTCCTCGACATTTGTTAGTTCATTTGATCTTTGCTGTCTTCAGAATAAACTTTACACCTTCACTTGGCTGATGAGGAAACTAAAGCTCAGAGAGGTTGAGTATCTTGCCCAAGTTTGCACAGTTCAGGGGGCGGAACTAGGACTCAGACCCAGGTCTGGCCAACTTCTAAGCTGGTCCTACGAGGAGGAGGTGATACATAGGTCAGAGAAAACTGAGCCAAAGAGAGACTTGTTACAGAACAGAGAGGTTTGGAGACTGAGACACAGCAGGAGTCAGATGGCTGCTATTAAGTGAACCTGGGAGGGACGGGTCCAAGTCATCTCTCCCACTTGGCCACAGCCTGGAAATCTCTGTTAGGAAACGGCCTGGCAAGCCGGGCACCATGGCCCACGCCTGTCCTCCCAGAGGCTCAGGAGGCTGAGGCAGGAGGATCGCGAGTTCAAAGCCAACCTCAGCAACTCAGTGCGACCCTGGGGAGGCCTGGGGAGGTGGCTCAGTGGCCGAGTGCCTCTGAGTTCAGTCCCTGGCACCAAAAAACCAAACCCAGCCTGGCGACGTCCTCCTTTCCTTAGAGGTCGAGGCCTGGCCCTGCGGCAGGTCTGAGTCCGCGGGAAACAGAGCGAGCAGGGTCCCTGTGCCCACAGGACGGGCCTGGGGACCTGCTGCTTCAGGGGGAGGGTGGTCCTGGAGCAGCTGTCCTGATGCCACGGGGGACGGAGAGCAGCCGAGGACACTCTGCCACTCGTGCTCTGCTGTGCGGCAGGCAGCCCCAAGCCCAGTGGCTTCAGACAGCAGTGACCACTTCCCACGCCCCCAGGGCAGACCCCCAGGTGGCCCCTCTTGCCTCTTGCTCAGCTGCCACCAACTGGTGGGGTGGCAGGGCTGGTGGCCTCCAGGGTGGGTTCCCAGGTCCGGGGCCTCACTGAGGAGCCTGGTGACTTCTCACCCTGGCCTTCTGCCCAGCACAGTGGCCTCAGGGACCACAGAGGCCAGGACAGGGCTGAGTGATGATGATGATGAAATTGCTCGATGACTCGGGGCCTGGTGGCGCACGCCTGTCATCCCAGCGGCGTGCGAGGCTGGGGCAGGAGGATCGCCAGTTCGAAGCCAGCCTCAGCAACTCAGCGAGGTCCCAAGCAACTCAGGGAGACCCTGTCTCTAAATGAAATATAAAAACAGCTGGTGGCCCGGTGGCTGGTGCCCCTGAGGTCAGTCCACCGCGTTCCGTGGGTCAAAGCAAGTCGCAGAGCCGGTCCAGCCCTGGGCAGGGGAAATGGCCTACACGTAAAGACGAAGCCAGCCGCAGGATGTTTGTCACACTTTTAACCACGTGTCTGTTAAGCTGGAGGTGACGCAAACCATTTCTGATTTTCCTTATTTGAGAGCTTCTGACGCTCTCCGCCATTTCTTCAAGTGCAAGTGGAAATAAACCACGGGGCTCAGCCCGCGGTGGGGGAGCACGAACTGGCTCATCCTATAGGAAAGTCGAGGCCTAGCAGCTTGAACAGTGCCATCAGAGGCTCCCGGTCACCAACCTGTCCCCTGGGCCCCTCGCAGTGTGGCTTCCCTCTAGCAGGTGGCTTTTTGAAGTGGACAAGATGACTGTGGACACTCTCAGGCCTGTGAATGTACAGGTGAGGACCCCAAAGGAAGCAGGACCCTCTTCCTGTTGTAAACAACACAGAATCCCTGAGAAAGCCGGAATGGACCGGCCTGGGGCACAGGAGCGTCCCGAGGTGAGGCAGGTAGCACAGCGCACCGACCGACTCCTGCCAAGACCACATGGGCAGGGTGGGATGCTCCCTCAGGGCAGGGCACAGGTCCTCACCAGAGAGGCTTCCACCACACCCCGAAGACTTCTTCATACTCCGGTGCCCAGCACAGAGCTTGGCACATAGTAGGTGCCCAATAAACCTTTGTTGCATGAATAATGAATACGTACCTACTGAGCACAGAGACTCAGGTACAGCAGGGGACTCAGGAGCACAGGATCTGTTGTCCCTGAAACTTTGCCACATCACTCACCGGGACCCAGAGAAAGAGGCTTGGCAGCAGTCAACATGCCGGGCAACCTGCCTGCCCTCCCAGGCCAGGGAGCTGGGGGCCAGGGGCTCCCTCCTGGGAGGTGGCGCATCAGAAATCCTGCAGCTGCGTGTGAGGCTGTGTCTGGGTTGGGGCTTCGGCCTTTCCTTTCAGTCCTCCCGGCTTTTTACTGATGACTTCTGGTGAGAAGTTTGGGGGATGTGGGGGGGTTACCCTTTTTTGGGAAACCTAACAAATTCTTTGGCCACTGTGCCTTCTCCTCGGGAGAAACGGGAGACAGGCTCGATCACACCTGGGGTGACCCTGCCAGCGATCTGCTCCCGTCCCAGCATCCACACAAGTCCACACAAAGAGACCGCTGTTCCCCTCGTTCCCTTTCCTGACTCAGCTACTTGGAATAAATTTTCCTGTGGAAAAACAAAAGAGGCAGGGAGCACGGGAGAGAGACGAGGAGCAAGGAAGATCTCAGAACGCCTTACTTTTTCAATTAAAAACTAATCCTCCTGCTGGGCTGGGGGCCCATGCTGTCATCCCTGAGGCTGAGGCAGGAGGATCGCAAGTTCAAGGCCAACCTCAGCAACTTAGAGAGGC